CCGCCAAATTTTTCACGAGGCCGTAGCGTGGTACCCGAGAGCGCGAGAACGCTGAATTTGGATGGGCAAGGCTGGGCGTGGGCAGGGGGCCATTACCCTAAATTTCAGCCTCCTAGACTCCGTGGTTACCAAGATACTAACTTACCCGTGAAAAATTTTCACGGGCCGTACGTGTTAGCCGCGGGTAAGGGAAGACTGAATTTGAATGGGCAAGGTTGAGCGTGGGCAGGGGGTCATTACCCTAAAATTTCAGCTTCCTAGACTTCGTGATTCCCGAGATGTTAACTTAGCCGTAAAAAACTCTCACGTGGCCATACGTGTTACCCACGGGTACGGGTAGGCTGAATTTAAATTTGCGGGGTCACACGTGGGTGGGGAACGCTTCCCTAAATTTTCAGTTTCCTAGCTTTCATGACTCCCGAGTTGAAAGTTGCGGACAAGTTGCTGCGGACACACACACACACAAACACACAGACAACCCGTGACAATGTGCGTTTTGTACTGCTGTTACACAGCACAAAACGCATAAAAAACTGAATCTCTGATTCAATTGACTACTACATTTGCGACTAATAATCCTAATCCAAGTACCAGAAGTTGTACAAGAACAAAGATAGCGGGAAATTTGAAAACTGGTCCCGGAACAAGGATTTAAGCTTGAGATGTGGAACAACAAACTAATGCATGAAAACAAAAACTATGCATGAGAAAACGGACAAAAATACACGAGGCGTTAGCAGACACTCACTGGTCTGGGGAGACCGGATACTCGATATCATGGTCACTCATCGGATTAGCATGAGCCCTTTGTCGATAATACTTTTTCTGTGGCAACTCGACCATTTCTTCAGGCTCACCGTTCCCTTCAGCTATTTCCACCATACCGCTCTGCTGCTCCTGGCTTTTATATCTGTAAAACAAAATAAATTAATTCAAAAGGATGATGCTACAGTCATCTGTTACATCGCTTTTGCTTGAACTGTACACGGGAGAAACAATTTTACTACGACTTTTATTGCAGCAAACTGCCCCTAGGGCACTAAGACTGATTTCGCTTTCTTTCGCATATCTGTCTTGCAAATTAGTCACATGACTGTCCCGAACATGACGGGTAGAAGGCTGCACTAATGATTCCTGTTCCTACCTCCATGCATTGCTCGGTCTGTGTTTACAGCTAAGGGATGAAACACAAAGACTGGATCGTAAAATCTCCTCCGGCTCATAACATTTACGACCAATTCTATTCTACCATTTTATTTTTTTTTTT